ATTTAGCAAATGGACCAGGACATTATCCCATTTCGTTATATTTTCCATAAAATTCACCATCTCTATCAGATCTAACAATTTTTACATTTTTGTCTAATTTTCTTTCAACCTCATTAATAAACACCTCTAGGGCATCTACTGATTGAGATTTTTCATGCAATAAATAGACATATCTATAACGTGAAAAATCATCAATAAAGGTGATAAAATATTTTTCTTTATTAAAAGATAGAACATCAAAAGGTCCACATATATCGGTGTGTATTATTTCAAGGAGCTGTGTGCTTCTTGTGGTAGCTTTCTTAATTGTATGATTTGTATGTTTTCCTTTAATACAATCCACACAAATACCAAGATCGGTAAAATCCAAAGTAGGAAGGATTTCATTCTTTACCAATCTTTGTATTCTTTCTTTGGAAATGTGTCCCAAATGTTTATGCCACAAATAAGCTGAACTTTCATCCACTAAACTTCGTTTAGTTCCAACATTATGATGCAAAGTTAATAGAGTTTCAGCAAAAAGATTATCAAGCTTTAGTTTGTATAAACCATCAGAGAGAACACCAGAACCAATAAGATGATTATGCTTAAACAAACTGAAACATCCATTTCCAAATTTAAAATAGTATCCAGCTATATCAAGTTTAGACAAAGAAACTAAGTTGCGAGAAACAGTGGGAACATAAAGAGTTTGAAAAAGATATAAATGATGTCTAGTGTCTAAAAACAAGCGATAGGTTCCAATGGCCTCAACTGGAGCTTTGACTCAATTTCTCATGAAGATGAAATTTTCATTTGGATTTATGGCTTGGGTCGTAAGGAATCCCTGCATCGTATTCGAAACATGAGTGGAATCCCTGCATCGTATTTGAAACATGAGTGGTAAAACCAGAATCAATCGACCAAGTATTATAAGGAACTTCTGTTAGGTTTGATTCGAAACATACAAAAGCAAGAGGTTTACCTTTTTTTTCGAACCATGCCTTACATTTCAGGCAATCTTTCTGATAGTGTCCAGGCTTTTTGCAGAAATGACACTTATCGTTCTTTCGCTCCTTCTTGTGAACTTGGACAGGTAACACATTATCTTTCAGTGCTCTTTTCATGCCCTTTCCATTATATTTTCCTGATTTCTTTCCAGCTCCTTGATGACCCATGAGATTAATTGAGTGAATTCCTTGTTTCTTAAGCCTTGCTTCCACCCATGAGATTAATTGAGTGAATTCCTTGTTTCTTAAGCCTTGCTTCCTCTTGAATGAGCATACTTTGTAATTCAGTCACATTCCACCCTCTTGAATGAGCATACTTTGTAATTCAGTCACATTCCACTTATCTTTTATAGTATTGTAGTTTATTTAGAATGAACCATACTCAGAAGGCAATGAGTTTATGATAAACTGCACAAGGAAACTTTCACTCAATTCCATTCTCATAGATCTCAATCTTACTGCTGTGTTTGTCATTTCAGTGACATGCTCATGCATGGTACGAGAACCATCGAACCTCATGGCGGTTAACGTATCCATTAATGTCCCTGCAATTGACTTATTAGCAGAGTCAGATTGCGAGATATCTTCCATAAATTTCATAAATTCCTTTGCTTTATCAGTCTTAGGAATTATGGACTTAATGTTATTTGCTATCATCATCCGCATGAACATTAAGCTAAGTCTATTTGATTTTTCCCAAGCATTATGAAAAAACCTTTCATCATCATTGCTAGAATCAGTAATAGCAGTGGCATTGTCATATAAGAGTGCTGAATCAAGATCCCGAACACCTAGGTGAAACTGAATTTGTTCACTCCATTCATGAAAATTAAGCCCATTGAACTTTACAATAGACGAGGCTTGCAAATGAAAAGAAATAGGTGCTGCAAATATATAGAATACCAGCATATTAATGCTTTGAGTCATAAGCTTAAACTTAAACATAACACATATTATGATCACATTTAATTTAAATAATAAACGTACATCGAAGTTCTCCTTTGGGTGGTCCATCAATGTACAATAGTTAACATAATTGATGCTTAGTTTTTATTTCATATAGTTGGCAATTATATACTCCAATTAGACATGCTTGCTATCTTTGGATATTCTAAACATATCTAATCAGATGTAGTAAACAACCACAGTCATGTTTATAGATTATAAAATTTCCAATCAACCTTTGGGCGATTCTTAAATATTTTATAATCGATAAACCTTAATTTACTCATGACAATGTATGTACGATTATGTCATTTCATTAGTAGCATCACTTAATCATGAGTAATTGAAATTATATTATAACAATTTGATAAGCATGAGACCTCAAGGTATGGCGGCCACTTTGGTGACTAACAAACCATTCATTAAATTTCAAATTGTAAAATGAAATTTAGATAATAACGTTATAGTAAGCCCGCAAATAGTAGTTCATGAAGATTAACCATCCATGCATAATTAGTGCATTGACATAAACAAAAATATCGGCACAACAATGCACAGAAACATCATGCAGGTAAAATAGATAAATAGGCAGCAACAATAGGTGGGCACAAAATTATATTAGGCAGCCAATTAAAAAAACGAATTATTAAAATAAAACATCATTAGGAATCAAAGACCCCAAGGCCCATCAAAGACTATTAATATTTGGTGTAGCCCTAGGGGTTTGAACACCAAACCTCTAGGCTAAATCCTCAAACCTTACCACTAGGCTATTTACACTAAAATATTTAGTATAATCATAATATGTATACATATTAAATGAATGCACAGTCAGTTCCGAATTTCTGTAATTAATTATGTATTCATTTCAATACGAAATTATCAAACAGAATAATTTTCAATAATCAGCGAAAAAAAAAATAATTATTATTATTACCGAATTTTAAACATTCAATTAACAATGATGGAAAATCATAAGTTCTTTAACCTGGGCTCTGATACCACATGTTAAACTTAAAATTCTTAAGTAAATCAAACTTCATTTTGATTTAATCATCATTATACTAGAATCTTAGAACATATGATTTTCACAATGAACAATCTAATTAAGAGAACGTACCTTGATCCATGATTCGAAATTTGACAAAATTTAAACTGCAAAGAGACAACGTTGAAGATTTTGATTTCTCTCTCTTTGCCCTCTTAATCTTTTCCGAAATTTTCTCTAATTTTCTTGATAGAGAGAAAATTTTTCACATACATAGGTAGAGAGAGGACCAAGTCTTTAAATAGAGAATTATTACTCACCTTCCATCAATGTGAGTAGTTAATTTATTGACAAATAGGAATCAACTAATGAGTAGTTAATTTAACTAATAATAAAACATGACCACTAAATGAAATGTGGTTAGTTTCATAACTAAAACTTAGTGGGGGGAGAAACTGTGACCACTAAGAACATGCTCAAAATAACCACTTCCTAGTACACATTAACTGAAGCCCAAAATAAAACCAACGAACGTACTTCTACATGTTTAACCATTGATTAAGGACGGACTTCAGCACAAAGCCTGCAATCTTTCGGAGTAGTGAGAAAGACGCAGCATCTTGCAGGCGTGTCTAGAAGTAGCATCTGTGTGCGCTGAGTCAGCCGTCATCACTGCACATATACGGGGGAAAACGCAAATGAATAAAGTGAAAATTCAGAAAAAATCAAATAGTAACAAGATGGGGGGGGCGAGGGGGGGGGGGGTGGCTGAGATAGAACAACGACTTCCGCCTTTCCGCTAATTTTCAAATTTGGTTACATGAATTTCTTTCTTTCTTTTCAACTTACTACCACTTTGCTTTACTGTTGCAGATAGGACCCCATAGTGATGTTCTTTTTTTCTTTTTCTTTTTCTTTTTTCCTTTTTTATTTTTTTCTCCTCTTTTTTTACACTTGGGAGCTTATTTGTATAAAATTTTTCTCTTTCTCTAGAGAAAAGAGCAATGAGATCCGTCAAAGTATCTATATATATATGCAAATTTAAGTCATCTACCTTAATTGTTAACTAATAGAATATCTTTATTAATTGTATCTGACCATAGTTCTAACCAGCACATTTGCTATTCAATTCGTTGTAAATAATCAAATGACCATGTCAACCGATTCTCTCTAGATTGATAGAAACACCTCTAATCCCTTAGGATTGGTAAAACTGTGGAAAAAAATGAGACGGATAATAAAAGCTGAGGGATGGCACTTACTGTCCTCCAACAGAGGTCTTGGAAGTGCAGAAGGAGCTACTTCCGGCGAGGAAGCAAGAAGCAGGGCCAAAGTGAGGAATGCTAAAGCAGTGGGCTTCATTGTGCAGCTTTCATATATGTAAAGATTTGACTATTTCTGTAGTGATCTATCCTATAATACGATGTTAGTCTCGTACAATATATGAAAAGACAATTTGAACTTTATGTAAAATATAAAAAATAAATTTGGCTTTCATGCAATTTTTAAATAATTGTGGACTTTGTTTTATCTGAAAGTTTTTGATGAAGTATTTGGAACGTATTTGAAGAATTGAAACCCTTACTTTATTATGAGATCTCTTGGGCTTATATAGGCCCCTACACAACTTACAAATAAGCCCCTATATATATTATTAATGTCAACACTCCTCCTTAAGATGGGCGAAAGATATCCACTAAGCCCATCTTGTCACATCCTCTAATCTAATGTCAACACTCCTCCTTAAGATGGGCGAAAGATATCCACTAAGCCCATCTTGTCACATCCTCTAATCATGTCTAATGAGCTAAGTCCATCTTGTCACATCCTCTAATCATGTCTAATGAGCTAAGTCCTTTAGTCAGACAATCTGCTGCCTGGTCCCTAGTTGAAACATGACTTAGCTCCAGTAGTCCACTATCCAACTTCTCTTTGATGAAGAACCTATCGACCTCGATATGTTTGGTTCTATCATGCTGCACTGGGTTGTTGGCGATACTGATAGCTGACTTGTTATCACACCACAACTTTATCTTAGCTCCTTGATCCAGCTCCAGCTCAACCAGCATACTTTTCAATCATAACAACTCAGCAACTCCTAAGGCCATAGCTCTATACTCTGCCTCAGCTGTTGATCTCGCCACCACTGACTGCTTATTGCTCTTCCATGAGACTAAGTTGCCTCCTATAAAGATGCAGTATCCCGAAGTGGACCTCCTGTCATCAGCACAGCTAGCCCAATCAAAGTTGCAATAACCCTCGATGCTCATATGTCCACTCTTTCTGAATATCAGCCCCTTTCCAGGGGTACTCTTCATATATCTCAGAATATGGTACACAGCGTCTATATGACCCTTCCTCGGATCATGCATGTAGCGGCTCACCATGCTCACTGCAAAAGAGATATCGGGACGTGTGTGACTCAGATAGATCAACCTGCCCACCAGCCTTTGGTATCTGTCATGGTCATCTGGTTCTCCAGCTTCAGCACCCAGCTTGAACTTCTGGTCGATCGGTGTAGTTGCAGGTTTACACCCTACCAGCTTGAACTTCTGGTCGATCGGTGTAGTTGCAGGTTTACACCCTAACATCCCTGTCTCTTTAAGAATATCCAGTGCATACTTTCTCTGGGATAAGACAATCCCCTCCGCTCCGCGAGCTATTTCTATTCCAAGAAAGTATCGAAGCAAGCCAAGATCTTTCACCTCGAATTCCTTACCCAGTCTCACTTTGAGTTTGGCAATCTACTCCTCATCATCCCCTGTAATAATCATATCATCCACATATACCGCAAGCATGGTGATGTGACCTTTATTTCGTTGAAAGAACACGGTATGATCAGCGTTAATCTGCCGGTATCCCATACCTACCATAGCCCGCCTAAATCTGTCGAACCAAGCACGGGGAGATTGCTTCAGGCCATATAGAGACTTCTTCAATCTGCAGACCTTGCCCACTGTCTGTTCTGTGTTGAATCCTGACGGAATTTCCATGTATACCTCTTCTACCAGATCTCCATGAAGAAATGCATTCTTCACATCTAATTGGTGTAGCTTCCATCCACCATTTACTGCCAGAGAGATCAAGGTCCGAACAGTGCTCATCTTCGCCACTGGTGTAAAAGTCTCATCATAGTCAAGCCGTATGTCTGACTATATCCTTTTGCCACCAGACGAGCTTTGTAGCGCTCAACCTGTCCATCTGGATTCTGCTTCACAGTGAAGACCCACTTGCATCCAACTGCTCTCTTCCCTTTTGGTAGTTTTACTAACTCCCAAGTACGGTTCTTCTCAAGGGCCCCTAGCTCTTCGTGTATAGCAGCTTTCCATTTCTGGTCCTTCTTTGCAACCTGCCAATTGTTAGGTATAGTAACAGAGTCCAGTGATGTAATAAATACTCCATGTGCAGGGTGGATGTTAGAATATGATACAAACTGAGCAAGATCTCAACCATATCTATTGGGAGGATTTCTCGCATTACTGCGAGTAGTCCTCCGTACAGTTATTTGTGTGGGAGGAGTAGGAAGAGGAATGGAATCACCTTGAGAGGAATCTGGTGGTGGTGTAGGTGTCTCAGGAGTCGGGGCAAACGTTGGCAAGGGATTTGGCACCAGTGGCACTGTAGGTACTGTTCCCGTAATTTGTTTCCCCTTCCTACTATAGGTAAGTAGTTCCCCCTGAGCCGTTGGCCTAACACCTCTTGTCTCATTCTCCTCTTCTTCTTCATTCTCTTGCTCCTCCTCAACCAAGTCTCCTTCCCAATGAATCGTTATAGAAATTGATTTTTCTGATCTCTCACCATTCTCAGACATTGATTTCTCCACATTCACCAATCTCTCACCATTCTCCTCCTCTCGCCTCATACTTCCAGTATTAAGAGAGTTATCAACGGATGAAGTTACCTTCCGGGTGTAATATGGCTCGAGTTCTCGAAAGTGCACATCCATGCTCACAAGATGAAGTTACCTTCCGGGTGTAATATGGCTCGAGTTCTCGAAAGTGCACATCCATGCTCACAAACAACTTTTTCTCCACCGGGCTCCAGCAAACATAGCCCTTCTGAGTAGCAGAATATCCTACAAAGATGCATTTCACCGCTCTAGAGGCAAACTTCCTGACGGACGGCCTGTTGTCCTTCACAAAGCACACACAGCCAAACACCTTGAGTGGAATAAGCCCACCATTATCTCCCTTCAACGACTCACACGGAGACTTCCAATCCAGCACTCTCGAGGGCATTCTGTTGATTAGTGCCGTCGCGGTCAACACTGCTTGCCCCCATAATATTTCTGGGACATTCATGGAGATCATCATACTTCTAGTAACCTCTAAAAGATGTCTATTCTTTCTTTCCGCTACTCCATTTTGAGCTAGTGTGTATGGACACGTAGTCTGGTGTTGTATTCCCTGAGCCGACAAGTATTCCCTAAACGCTTTGTTAGTATACTCCGTCCCATTATCAGATCTTAATACCTTCACCACAGCGCCGTATTGAGTCTGAGCATACCTATGAAAATTTTGAAAGCAACCAAACACTTCACTCTTATTTTTTATCAGGTACAACCAAGTAACGCGGGAGAAGCAATCAATAAAGGTAACAAAATACTTGTATCCATTCATAGAACTTGTAGAACAAGGCCCCCAAACATCTGAATGTATCAGTTCGAATGCACGAGAACTCCTATGACCAGAACTTACATAAGAACTTCTAGTCAGTTTTCCAAACTCACATACATCACACACAAGGTGCTGCTTATTTGCTTTCTCAAATAAAGAAGGATACAATCTACTTAAAATACTAAATGATGAGTGTCCCAGACGCTGGTGATGAAGCATTAACTCATTCTCAGCACTCATTTTAGATCCTAGTCCTGCTTCCTCTACGACCGACACCAATGCTGAATCCAACCCTTCACGATCCAGATACCACAGTCCACTACGTCATGTGCCAGTCCTAAGTCTCCGTCCTGTCCCCTTTTTCTGAAAAATCACCTCGGAAATATCAAAAGAAACAATATATTTTAGTTGGAGGATGATAGAACTAATAGACAAAAGATTGACTAGAAAGGAAGGAGCATGCAAAACATTGGACAAAGTTACAGAACCAGTACAATCGAAAAACATTGGACAAAGTTACAGAACCAGTACAATCGACTGTACCCTTACCAACCACCGGCTGAAATGTATCATCAGCTGTTTGAATACTATCAGGCGATACAATCGACTGTACCCTTACCAACCACCGGCTGAAATGTATCATCAGCTGTTTGAATACTATCAGGCGATACTGAGTGAGTATATGATAAGAACTCACTAGCATTACCTGTCACATGGCGAGACGCATCGGAGTCGACTATCCATTCTGATGATCTGTCGGGAGACATAGAAACAAGAGCATGTATATCATCAGTACCTTTGATCGGATGAGCATAGGTAGCAGTGTTGCCTCTGGCGAAGAACAAAGTAGATGCCTCCTCAGTCCCATCCCCTGCTACTTGCTGCTTCCTCCTGAGTATCGTCAGGAGAGCATGATCCTTCTCAGTAAAGACCACCTCAGCTTCTTCCTCTGCTACCGTCAGATTCGCTCGGTTCCCTGCTCCTCTTCCACCTCGTCGACCCCCACGGCCACGACCATGACCTCGAACTGTCCACGTCCACCCGAATCTCCTTCCTTGGGTGGCTTGGTGTAAGCATGCCTTAGATGACCCACCGCACCGCAGTTGTAGCACTATCGAGTCTCTCCCCTAGATCCAGTGTTGCTAGAGGCTGCCAGTGCTGACTTCACCACAGGAAGTCCACCTGTCCCCGCCTGCAGCCGAATGCGAGTCTCCTCCTGGATCATAGCAGAGACAGCCTCCTCAAGCGTGGGAATCTTTGGCCAAGCTAGCAGCAATGCGATTCGCTGAGCGAACTCTGATGTCAATCCTTTGAGAAACACCATAGTCCTCTCCTATAGAAAGGCCTCCCATTCTTTACATCCCGGGTCCTTGCAGCTCGCCTGAGGGGAAAAATGATCATAATCCAACCACATGCGCTCCAACTCTGTAGCATATTCCTGTACAGTCCTCTCTCCCTGGACTATGGCGTCGATCTCTCCTTTAATCTGGAATACCCTCAGGTTATTCCCCACTCCATCATATGTCCTCAACTTCTCTCAGACGTCCTTCACCTTCTCAATGCCATCCACCATAGCGGCGATCGTCGGGACCAACGAGTTAAGAAGCTAGATGTACACCAACATATGAGTGGACTTCCACTCATCTCTTCCCTCTGAGTCCTTCTCCGGCTCTGTCACCTCTCCTGTTAGATAACCCTCTAGATTCCTCCCTGAAAGGGTATATCTCACCCGTCATGACCAGCTCAGGTATGTACTTGGTCCATCCAACTTCAGATCGATGGTCGGAAGCTCCAACTTCTTCGATAGTTTTGTCGTGCTCTCACCAGCCGACAACTTCATTAGCTTCATCAAAGTTGACACCTCCGCGGGGTTCAACTTCTTGATGATCTCCTCCATCGAACAGGCTTCAGACCTAACACCTGGTCACCTACTCTTCCAGCCCTTGTTGTGTGCAGTGAAAATTTCGGCAGCACCTCTGCTGCATAACAAGAGTGGGATCGCAAACAAATTCTCGTTTCTCAGAGGAAACAAGAACCAAAAGTAGTTATATATCTCATCGACGTGAGAAATATACTCTTCCTGTCATCAGTTCGAGGACTGAGTCGAGGGAACTCATGCCAAACTCTAGGTCCGACATGGCGCAGCAAGGGCGCGAGCAAAGGGTGGTGGTGGGGGGGGGAAAGGGGTTTGGAAGAGGGTCAGGGGGGGTTCTGGGGTCGGTCAGGTCTGGGGTCTGAGGTCGGTCAGGTGGGGCTGTTTGATGAGTGGAGATCAGGTCGGTCAGGTGGGGCTGTTTGATGTAACTTACAAATAAGACCCTATATATATTACTAATGTCAACAGTATTTCAATAGTTTAACGAATTCAAAGATTTTTTTGTGATTAGTATTGATAGATATTTGATTGGAATACTCATACCACCAAGATGCATCTTTTTTTCGGGAACCCAACTCTTAGAAATTCAAAAGTTAAGCGTTCTTGGCCTGGAGAAATTTTAGGATGAGTGACCCACTGAGAAGTTTTTTAGGGAGCGCGTGAGTGAGGACAAAATGTGCTGAAAAGACATGTGGTGGTTTGTGAGTCCAGTCCATCAGATCTAATAGCGTACCGACTCCGGGATTTTGGGGCGGGGCGGTGCGCGACGAGATAATTAAGGTGAGAGTGGATACTAAATAGAGGATTAGGGAGCAAACATGGGGCCAAAAAATCACGTGCGTAATATAGCAGCTTCTAGTTTAATAAGATTAGGGCTGGAGCTGTATCTAGTCAAGGGTTTGAAGTTGCCTTCTTTGACTCTAATGACAAAGAAAACAACGTTTCAATACTACGGGGATAGTCTATAATTGGGGATAGATTCTTAGGTGCGTACAAACCAATATCAATTGATATGTCTCCATTAATGTCACGGCTCCGTTTGGATACCATGGTGTTTTCCTTATTTCCATGGTGTTTTTGCCAAAAACAAAACACAATGTGTTTGGAAACCATGATGTTTTTAAGCTAAATCAATATGTCTCCATTAATGTCACGGCTCCGTTTGGATACCATGGTGTTTTCCTTATTTCCATGGTGTTTTTGCCAAAAACAAAACACAATGTGTTTGGAAACCATGATGTTTTTAAGCTAAATCACCATCAAACAAAAAACACAACACTTATTTCAAAACACCTTTTAGGTGTTTTAAGTTTGATGTTTTGGTTTTGAGTTTGAGAATGTGTTAATATAATATCTAACATAATATATTAAATATAATTAATATAGAGTTATTATCAACATGCTTATTATATTATACTATACACTATACTACATTATAGTTAATTTAATATATTAGTAATATTTATTAAATAATATCAAAATATAATAAATAAAATATCTTATATAATAATATTAACATATTAAATACCAATGTTTTTAATATGTTAATAATGTATTATATAATAAATAAATAATAATAAAATACAAATAAACTAATAAAATTAATAAAAAAGTTATTGATAATAAATAATAATATAATAATTATATAAATAATATATTATACAATAGTATAATCATGTTATTAATATCATAAATACTAAGTATATTGTTAAAGTACTATTAATAAACTCTTAACATATTAAAAACTATAATATATTATATAATATTATATTTATAATATATTAATAACATAATATTAACATTATTAAAAATATATATTATATGAATAATATTATAATATTATATTATATTAATAATAGTATAATATTATATTAATATTAAAATAATATTATTATAAAAATATAATATAATATACAACAATAACAAATTCATATACAAATAATTAAATATATAATTATTTGAAAATACTATGTAATAAATTATAATAAATAATACAACCCAAAGCAGCACCACCGGCACTTTGCCGGGTATAATATAATATAACTCATTAAAGTAAATATAATATTATAATACATTATACAATATTATATTGCATTACATTTATACTTATAATACTATAAAAATGTAAACTAAAATTATAATATTTTATTTATAATATATTTTATTATAATTAATATAGATATATTTAATAATATTTTTAATATTAATGTTATAATGAGTCAAAGTAGTGTTGATCAAAAATACTTAACATGATGTTTTGAAATCATTTTAAGGGAAAAACACACATCATGGTGTTTTTTTATAAAAACACAACAAGAAAAAACACAATGGTATCCAAACGAGGAGATGTTTTCGGCCAGAAAAAAGGGGGGGTGATCGAGGGGGGCTGATCCGGGGGGGCTGATCGGGAATAGGGGCTGATTGGGGGGGGGGGGCTGATCGAGGTTGGGGGGCTGATCGAGGGGGGCGGCGGCTAGGAGGGGTGACGGCTAGGGTTTGGCTCTGATACCATGAAGAATTGAAACCCTTACTTTATTATGAGATCTCTTGGGCTTATATAGGCCCCTACACAACTTACAAATAAGACCCTATATATATTACTAATGTCAACAGTATTTCAATAGTTTAACGAATTCAAAGATTTTTTTGTGATTAGTATTGATAGATATTTGATTGGAATACTCATACCACCAAGATGCATCTTTTTTTCGGGAACCCAACTCTTAGAAATTCAAAAGTTAAGCGTTCTTGGCCTGGAGAAATTTTAGGATGAGTGACCCACTGAGAAGTTTTTTAGGGAGCGCGTGAGTGAGGACAAAATGTGCTGAAAAGACATGTGGTGGTTTGTGAGTCCAGTCCATCAGATCTAATAGCGTACCGACTCCGGGATTTTGGGGCGGGGCGGTGCGCGACGAGATAATTAAGGTGAGAGTGGATACTAAATAGAGGATTAGGGAGCAAACATGGGGGCCAAAAAATCACGTGCGTAATATAGCAGCTTCTAGTTTAATAAGATTAGGGCTGGAGCTGTATCTAGTCAAGGGTTTGAAGTTGCCTTCTTTGACTCTAATGACAAAGAAATCAACGTTTCAATACTACGGGGATAGTCTATAATTGGGGATAGATTCTTAGGTGCGTACAAACCAATATCAATTGATATGTCTCCATTAATGTAGTTTGTTAGGAAGAAATCGGGGCCAGTTGAGAGTTAATTGGACCATAAGTAGAGGCTAAGAATCATTCTTAACCAAAAAAAATAAAGAAGAAAAAAAACTTATAAACTACTAGCGAGGTACTGGCACCATCTCCGATTGGAAGTGGTCACTCCTTATTCTTCCAATATGAGAATATACTCGCATATGATTATACATAGATGTTATTTTTTTCACATAACAAATTTGAAGTTCATAATCTATTAGAGCTACCAATGGGCGAATCGATAGTTCAGTGTCATTGAGTGGGGTAGTGCGGTTTGTTGAAGGGATCTATTAACCACTTTAGTGGCAAAGAACTACTTGCTTGGGTCACAGGCTGATTCTTTCACCACAAACCTCACTCGAACCCGTGCGGCACTTAGTCACTCTTTCTCTTACTAGAATGGCTAAGTCAGCCTAATCTCTCAAACACTCACGCAAGAGAAGAGAACACTCAAGAGTAGAAGTTGAAGCTCTTATTGCTTTATTGCTTAGCAACTCTTGCTTGATACAAATGAAATGCCTTAGCCCCCTATTTATAGGCAAGGCTAGCTTACAATGAATAGCTATAATTAGCCTTCTAGATTGTTCCTACATCCAACGATTAGGATTGAGTCTCTAGACTCTTCTTCTAAAATATCTCCCTAGATATTTACATGAGACTTTCCTTGAATCTTCTAGATACATGATATTTGTCAAATGTAAGAAAACTCTAGAAACCCCAAGAAACTTCATGGACCCAACCTTTAATGAGTGAGTCCAAATGCACCCAATTGAGCCAAAATGGGGCGGTTCGTGACACTTGCACGTGGATAGTTCTAATAAGATTTGTAATTACAAATTTGCAGGACATTTATGCAATGATATAAACAATTTCTAACCACACATATGACCATACCTTGAGTCAGTTGAGTGCAAATTTTATCGGAACACTCTATCTAATGAGTGTTCCGAGATTTGACCGGTCTCGAGTGACATAGGTGGGCCGTTTAATATCATGCTCGTATGTAAGAGCTGCTACGGGGACCCAAAATATGGGATTAAAAGGTGGGACTAGTGATGTGTCCCTCCCCTATTGGATAATGAGTTGGTAATAAGTAAGCATGACCAACTCATTATCCAATAAAGAAGGGACACATCACTAATCCTACCATTTGATCTCATATTTTGGGTGCTTGGTGCATTAATCTTTTCTTACATAAACGCTTGTTCTTAGATATATAAATTAAAACTTAATGCTCATTTGAACAAAAGACGATGTGCCAATCATATTGATATTTAAATTATCTGTCGGTCAGACCACTGACTGCAGTGAATTGAATTGACAATAATTACGAGACGCGTGCATGGAGGGTTTCTACGTTATCGATATTTGTCAAACAAGGAGGCCCTCTAGTTGTGAGGTGTCCTGCTTATCATCAATGACAACCCATGTGAATACTTATCCAAAATATATAGACCAATAACATATTAAATTCGCAAATTTGCTATCCACATATTCACCCACCTTTACTCTGTCATCTTTATAAATAGATATATACTTGCTCCCTTCAGTTCAATGAATCAGTAAACTTGAAGCGATCCCATTCTAAGCTTTTAAGGGAGGGAGAGAAGAAACTATGAAGAGCATCGCCTTACTCTTTGCGCTCACTTTGCTTCTGGCTTCCTCCACGGAGGTAGCACTTTCCGCTCGGATGCCTCTTGCAAACTATGACCCCCAAGAGAAATATAAGCGTATGTATATATTTTCTTCTCCTCAGAATTTTGTTTCCCCTCTTTTTAAAGTAGAATATTATTTGGCAAATTTACAAAGTTCAATTCATCTGTGCATTGTTTTGTACTAAGGAAAAAACTCTCTAAGATCTGTAGCAAAATTGTATGATAGATATCTAACTGTTATAGTTAATTTGGCAAAATAAGCCGCTAAAGGATAAGAATGGTGAGATCAACCAGCTTAGATATTCTACATACAAGGATAGACCTATTAATTATATACTTGTTTATCTCTTCTTCTTCTTTTTTTCCTTTTTCTTTTTCTTTTTCTTTTTTTTTTTGGCTTAATTAATTTTAGTTTCCAATAGTTTATGCATTTCAAAAGGACACCATTGCATCAAAATTTTTGTGATGAGGGTCGGGCGCTACACGGTTAATTATACTGTGATAAGTCTCAGCAGGTTGAGATTATTTTTAATGAGCTAAAAATTTAGACCTGCGGATCAATATCTTTTTTAATTTAATGCACTTTAGAAGTAACTCATATATAAGATGTTCTCTTATACCATGTTAAACAATCCTGTCATCGATGTAGCTAGCTTAATTTATGCTCCAACAATGCAAAAGCCTTACATATATAACTCTAAATTTCTATTAGATATTAAGGAACACTTCGCGAGTGTATCAAGTGATGCTAGCTTCCTACAAATCATAGATATAGAGTGTTTTCTAATTAGCCTAGAACTTTTGTTATCCTTGGTTGAACTTTTTTCTTGATTGTAAATTTTTTTTCTCTCCCCCTTTTTACCCCCCAGAACCCACCGTGAAGTGCAAGCCACACGAGGAATGCTGCGTTTTTGGGAGCTCTCCGATAACTGATTGCCGTATGTGCTCTCGTTTATGTCCATGAGATTTGATTATAGTCAAGAAGCAGCGTGAGCCCTTTTGTTGGGCTTTGAATAATTGTATGTTTACCTGTGTGTGTGATGTTTGTAACATTGCTTAGTATGAAATAAAAAGGGGCCTTTCGATGCATATTATGTGGAAAAGGATTTGGGTTATCTCCACTCCTCCATATATAATAGGCAGAAAAGGAGAACAATTCTCGAGTTACAAGTATTTACTTCATTTTGGGTGCTTTTACGTGTACATCTATACTGCCCTTCACTGTTCGCAATTTGACTGCACTTCTGATATTATAATTAGGATAAGTTACACTAAAACCCCCAAACAATTTTAGCATTTCGTAGACAACGCCCATAAATTCGAGCAAAATAACAACATAACGCATTTTGAAAGTTATTGGAGGCCCAGTGTAATGTACCCAAAAGATACTGGTGTTGGATTTAAATCTAATTAAATCTATTTGTGGGCACATATGATTAATCAATGTGTATTGCTATATTTTAAGGATAACCCACTAAAGTGATCAATTAATCTGGGTTAATGGGTATTTAAATAAATCATGGGGTTATATGTGCATATACCAGGTTGTAATTGTGATTTGATGATGGGTCAAATTGCAAATGCACATCTATAAATAAGGGGTTATGCTCCCTAATTTAGGGTTACATTCTCTAATTCTCTTCACCCCCATCTAGAGAGAAATTTGGTAAGAGAAACCCTAAGTTTAGAAGATCATCAAAACCCTAATAAGGTTTCCTCAATGGATTCAGGTATATGTTTCCGCACTTTTTAATTCTTGTCAATCTCTTTGAATTAATCATGACTGTAAGATTTAGATCTCAAGTTTTATTTAAGATCTAACAAGTGGTATCAGAACCACATGTGATTAATTCTTAGGGGTTTAAGTTCTTAAAAATTGGGTTTTTTGATCTTAAAATCTCTAATTTGGATTTAGAAATGTTCTTGGATGAACAGTAACGTTTGGATGAACAGTAACGGTTTTTATTTTTCGGATGAACAGTAAAAAATTCACATTGAACAGTAAAGTTTTCAATTTTTTGGATTTTTTTTCTTCGCTTTTGCTTGGATCTGGATTAAGGAAATTCGTTTTTTTCGATTCTGGATCTGTTTTTTGAAATAAAATCGAGAAAAATCTTTTGGATCTCCTATTTTGTTTGGTCTTCGGTCCCATGCTCCTCGCCGGCGAAGCTTCGCTGGCGGCCTCGCTCTCAACTCCGACGGCGACAGCTACGTCAGGAAACCCTAGGGTTTCGACCTTTGGGTGCAGGAGTAATGGCGGCGGCGGTTTCAGATTGAAACCCTTAGGGTTCGTGCGTGAAAATGTGGCGATAATTAAGGAGGCGGTTACCTTAAACTTTGGCAGGCTTGAAAGCTTCAAACGAACTTAGCGTTCGTTCTCAGGTTGAGCCTCGCGCTCAATTCAAACGAATTTTGCGTTCGTTCTCAAGTTGAACCTCGCGCTCAATTCAAACGAACCTAGCGTTCGTTCTCAGGTGAGCCTCGCGCTCAATTCAAGTTGAGCCTCACGCTCAGTTCTCAGGTGAGCCTCGCGCTCAATTCAAGTTAAGCTTCACGCTCAGTTCTCAGGTGAGCCTCGCGCTCAATTCAAGTTGAGCGTCGCGCTCAGTTCTCATGTGAGCCTCGCGCTCAATTCAAGTTGAGCCTCGCGCGCAGTTCTTAGGTGAGCCTCGCGCTCAATTCAAGTCGAACCTCGCGTTCGTTCTCAAGATGAACATTGCGTTCATTCTCAGGTCGAACTCCGCGTTCATCCTTAGGCGAGCACTGTGCTCAATCCAAACGAACCTCGCGTTCGTTCTCAAGTTGAACTTCGCGTTCATTATCAAAACGAATCTTGCATTCATTCTCAAGTTGAACATCACGTTCATTTTTTAAATGAACCTTGCGTTCGAAGTCAAGCGAACTTTGTGTTCACTATGGTTAAGCCTCGGCTTTTCATGGGTCCACTTTGGTATACTTAATTTATTAAGTTATGGGCTCTAATTAAGCTATGAGACCCCAATTAAGTTTTTTTTTTGGAAATTCAGTTGATTTAAATTAAAACCTTTTAATTTAAATCTAATTTGATAGTTAATCAATTATTTAATTCAAATATTATGACACTAAGGTATTACGGTTGTCTCTCACTCCAATTGATTAATTAAAACAAGAAGTTGCCAAAGTAACCTCTCTTGTGTAGATTGTTCATGAGGAATGTGAGATGTTTGTGTGTATGTTTTCGTGTAAATATTTAATCGGCCCAAAGAAAGGTTAATATTTATTTAAACTACATACACATCTGCGATGATAAACGTGTGACAATTATAAGGTTTACATGTGAATAATGAATCGATCCAAAGATAGTTTTATTATTTGACATGAGTTATTGTCAATGTTTGATCATTGCAACAAGGTATCACTTACAAGTTAATATTATTGTCCAAAGACTTGATATTAATGTTATGCCAGATATCTTGAGATGGGATTTATCATTATTTGAATTTTATTGATTACTAATTATGGTTATTAATGTGAGCATTTTTTGTTTTATTTTAGCTAATGCATCTTCTGTAATAATTTCTTCTAACATCAACTCAACTCCCATGCTAAATGGGACAAACTTCAAGGTTTGGAAAGAGAACATACTAATTGTTCTTGGCTACATGGATCTTGACTATGCATTAAGAACTGAACAACCCTAACTTCTCAATGCGGATAGCACTCCTGATGCAAAGAAGGAGTATGAGAAATGGGAGCGTTCAAATCGTATGAGTCTTATGATCATTAAGCGTGACGTTCCGGAAGCCTTCAGGGGCATAGAATCCGAAGGGATTACTAAGGCTAAAGATTTCCTTGCCGAAATTGAAAAGCATTTTGCGAAAAACGATAAGGTAGAAACAAGCACGCTTTTAGCTCGCTTGATTTCAATGAAGTATAAGGGTAAAGGAAATATAAGGGAGTACATTATGGAAATGTCTCATATTGCTTTAAAACTTAAAGCACTTAAACTTAATCTTTGTGATGAGTTATTGGTGCATCTGGTCCTGTTCTCTCTTCCTACACAATTTAATCTGTTTAAGGTCAGTTATAACTGTCAAAAGGAGAAATTGACTCTAAATGAGCTCATTTCATACTGTGTGCAATAAGAAGACAGGTTGAAACAAGATAAGACTGAAAGTGCCCATTTGGCCTATACCTCTAAGGATAAGGACAAGAAAAGAAAGAATGGTAATGAAGCTGCTAAGGGTCCAGTTTAGAAGAAACAACATAAGGATAATCATGGTTGCTTCTTCTGTAACAAGCCTGGACACGTAAAGAAGGATTGTACCAAATATCACATCTGGCGTGCTAATAAGGGTACGTTCCTTACTTTGGTCTGTTCTGAGGTTAATTTAGCTTCAGTATCTAGAAACACTTGGTGATTAGACTCTGGTATTACTACTCACATAAGTGTTTCTATGCAGGGTTGCCTGAGCTACAAAAGCCAAGTGATGTTGAAAGATAAATCTTTGTGGGCAATGGTCAATCGGTAGATGTGAAAGTAATTGGGCTTTTTTAGGTTGCTATTAGGAACTAGTTGTTATTTGGACTTAAAAGATACTTTTGTAGTACCGTCTTTTAGACGGAATTTGATTTCAGTTTCTGTATTGGACAAATCAGGTTATTCTTGTTCATTTGGAAACAATCAATTCAGTTTATCTTTTAATTCATATATTATGGGAACTGGTTACTTGAGTACTTATGATAACTTATATTTGCTCGATACAATTACTTCTTATAATGAATTCTTGCATGTGAATCACGTGGTACTAAGCGTAAATTAAATAAGGAAAATTCGGCGACATTATGGCATAAGCGCTTGGGTCATATCTCAAAAGGTAGAGTTGAGCGTCTTGTGTCTGATGGCATTTTGGATTCCCTTGACTTTTTAGATTTCAACGTATGTGTTGAATGTATCAAGGGAAAACAGACCAAAGTTAAGAGATTAGGTGCCAATAGATCTTCAGATGTCTTAGAATTGATACATACAGATATTTATGGGTCATTCCCTATGGCATCCTGGAATGGTCAACAATATTTTATATCATTCATAGATGATTACTCACGTTATGTGTATCTATATCTTATTCATGAAAAATCTGAGTCTCTAGACATGTTCAAAGCCTATAAAGCTGAATTTGAGAATCAACTCAACAGAAGAATTAAAACCGTTAGGTCTGATCATGGTGGTGAGTACTACGGCATATATGATGGTGCAGGTGAACAACGTCCAGGACCATTTGCTAGATACCTAGAGGAATACGGTATCGTCCCACAATACACCATGCCGGGTTTACCTAGCATGAATGGTTTAGCTGAAAGACGAAACAGAACTCTTAAGGATATGGTAAGAAGTATGATATCTCATTCTTCTTTACCAGAGTCACTCTGGGGAGAAGCACTAAAGACAACAGCTTACGTTCTAAACAGAGTGCTAAGTAAAGCAATTGTTAAAACACCTTATGAGCTTTCGACTGGTCGAAAGCCCAGTTTAAAGCACTTACATATCCTTACAGGCCAAATGAAAAGAAATTGGACTCTAAAATAGTTAGCAGCTACTTTATTGGGTATTCTGAACGCTCTAGGGGCTATAAGTTTTATGATCCCACACTCAGGAATATTTTTGAGACAGGAACAACATCATTCTTTGAGGATGTTGAGTTTGGGGGGAGAAATAAGGTCAGAGACATTGCTTTTGAGGAGGAATTAGCCTCAGATCCAATCCATACAGTTACTTTTGACAATATCCAGGTTCATATACCTGTTGTTGCTCAAGAAGTAAATCTAAAACCTCAAGATGATAATGTTAAACAACTCCCTGTTCTAGAAGAACAAACTCAACAACCTCAAGAACCAGTGCCTTTACGGAGATCCACGAGAGAAAGGAGAAATGCTATTCCGGATGATTATATTGTGTAAGGACCATGAAATTTGATACTAGATAAAATAATTTTTTTAGAATTTTAAAATATTTAATTATAATTTTTAAAAGAGTATTTATATTTTTCTTGAATTTCTACAATTTCCTATGATTTAAAATCTAAGTTTTATACTTATTTAAATGATATTAATATTTATAAATTAATTTTGTGCGGTAGAAATTTCTGGAATTAATCTGTTGTGTTATCGGTATTATCACATGTCATTTTGAATAATACGTTGTATTATTTTTTATTATTACGTATATTTTCGTATAATACGTTGCATTATTAATTACGTATTATTTGTATAATTTGCTGTATTATTTCTACTGTTACATATTATCTGTCGTATTAGTATAACGAGTACGTTTTACTGTGTATATAATTATCTCATAATTATTGGATTTTAAATGTAAGTAAATATATTTTATTTATTAATTATTTTTGTTTAAATTGTACAATATGTGAATATTTCGACTATTTCATATCAACTGTTGTATTGACTCAACATGTATGTTTTTATTTGTAGGTAATTATTCTGTAATTAGTTTAATTTAACCGCCTACACCACCAACACCTCCACCCTCGGCTGCACCACCTCCGCCGCCTGACCGCCCCCAGATCCTCCCCTCCTCCGTCCACCCACCTGCAGCCCCGCCAGGCCGCGCCGACAGCCCCTCTCGAGCCTCCTGCAGCCGCTCAAACCCCACCGTTCGCCGTCCTCAGCGACCCCCTCGACCACCCCGACGTCGGCCCCAGCCCCCTCGCTCCCTCGCGCTGCTGTCCAACCTCCAGCGCCTTCCCTTCGCTGTCCAGACCCGCGTCGACACCCTCGTCAGTCCCCAACTCAGATCCGTGAGCCGTAGTCTCGTCCGTCAACGTCGATTCGTTCTACGAACCCCGAGGCAAGATCCCTCTTGCTCGTTGTCTCGTTAATTTATATTTTTTTTATCTCAATTATGAATTTATTACATATGTGCGTAGATTAGTTTGTGCTGATATGATATTAATTTTGTGGTTGTTGGAAATTTTACGGTGAATATATTTTGTGAAACGATGAATAAGTATGTCAAAAATATAGTTCATGGTTAATTTCGTGTTGTTTGGAAGAAATGATATATTTATAGAGTATTTTGAGAATTATTTATAATGAGGAAAAATATTTTAAAAGGAATTATTTCGAGAAAATAATTTATCTTGGATAAGGAGTATTTTTGAATGATTGTTATGACTAAAATGATTTTATTTTAAGAAAAAGAGTATTGTAGATTATTTTATAAAATATCATAGAAATCATTATAAATTAAAAAGTATTACTGTTCATAAATAATAATAGAATATATTTTAAGAAGATCATTTTAGAATTTTTATAATGAGAGATAATTTTAAAGGAAATTATTCTTGGAATTAATAAAATGAGATAATTTTTAAGGGAAATTATTCTTGAAGTTTTATAATGGTAGTTTCATCTTGCATTGTTAATAATAGCTTTGTTCTCGTATGTTTCTTGCATGTGATCACGACCCCTGTTCACACTTCATGACTTTGACACTTAGCGTAATTACATTTATTATTCCATGTTGAGAATCATGAGGAGTACATAATTATAGTGATCTGTATGACACAGTTAGGATCTAGAATCTCATGTATAGATGACTTGGAATTACGAGAATTAAGGTGAGAAGTCTTGGTCCATGTGAGCGGTTATGATTATTGATTGTTTTCCAGGCTCGCGCCAGTGTCTTGTTTCGGCCTGGGGTGGGTCTGAGGTATCGTGATATGTGATTGTTGATGTATTTTCCAGGCTCACGCCAGCGTCTTGTTTCGGCCTGGGGTGGGTCTGAGGTGAGGTGATATCGAGATTATTATTTATTTTCCAGGCTCACGCCAGCGTCTTGTTTTGGCCTGGGGTGGGTCTGAGGAGCAGGGATATTGAGATTGTTGATTATTTGAGATGAGTGATGTGATAGTTAGTTACATGACATCGATTCTTGGCTAAGTATGATTCTTGTGAGATATAGGCCGGTTGTACTCCTTTTCATATATAGATCGGGATTAGTATTTAATTATCTATAATTTGAGACATATGGTATATACATAAGGGTTTCATTGTTTGGATTATTTCGCTCGACGTACTACGTATCTTGTTGTAGATTTTTAAATATTAATTCCATCTATTGTATGGTTTTTTTGTTTGGATAGTTTCTGATCGCTACCTGCATGATCTTGTTATTTGGTTGATTTTTGGATTCATCTGATTATTAGTATTCTAGTTGCATGCCTCTATCGTTATTACTATCATCACATGTTCTATTTTTATTTCTGCTATCGCATTGACCATGCATATATTATCATTATTGTTATTGTATTTGTTTTGCCTTGGGGGATCTTGTCGTGTGTTCCACACGCTGACGTACTCCTTTTTCTGGGTGTACGTCAGATTTAGGAGATGAGCAGCCTCAGTTCGGAATCGTACAGGAGCCAGAAGATTCTTAGGAGGGGTGTCTTGCAGAAGGAGTAGAAGAACCAACTGAAGCGTAGTGATTTTCTTCTGTAGTAGTAGTTGGATATTAAAACTCTTTTACCGCACTTTTCTTTAGTTTGATGATAGATTTAGTTATTTTATTTCCTTTATTATGGACTATGTATTTCTTATTTCCTATCTTTAGTTTGATGATAGATTTAGTTATTTTATTTCCTTTATTATGGACTATGTATTTCTTATTTCCTAATTGAACTGTTGTTATAATAAGGGTACGTTTGATCCATATTTTATGTCTGGGATGATTTACCATTGATGATATGTCTATTGTATTCTGGGTTGTCTTTATATTCTTGCTATGTGTGATCGGGGACCTGTGACTTCGTATTGTACTTATTTCCAGACGCTTAGCGTATTGGATTGAGAAGAAAAGAAAAGAGAAAAAAAAGGGTAGAGTGTAGTTCTTCTCAATCTAATATGTCGCGGGCTTGTTCACGTTCCGGTTCCCAGGTATTTTGGGAAGCGGGGCGTGACAGGTTTTTTTGGTGGCCCATGCAGGTCACGGTCCCGAGTCCTCACTAGTAAGAGTCTGGTAGACAATTTAGATACATATCATATTTCATCCGTAAGACTATGATTAAGTTCTTATACTATTATCTTAATAACTATGTTTTAACTCCTATTTTCTAATATATAGTTTTGATTTTAACCCTAATTCTTTGATCCTCGTTTTCCTTCAGAACTATGGCTGGTACTCGTGGTGTTAGTAACCCATCTAGTAGCAGTGTCCCGCAGCCCGAAGTGCATCCAAACCAACTTCTGGCGATGATTCAGGGATTGGCCACGAATCAGCAGCACCTAGCTAGGCAGCTGCAGCGGGAGCCTCAGCACCAACCTCCTCCTCGTCCAGAGTCTAGCGTCAGGCAGTTCCGGTATATGAGGCCCCCTTCTTTCTCTAGTGCTGAAGGACCCCTAGCAGCGGAGGAATTCTTAAAGGTCACTGAGACTATTCTCACGGTGACCCGTATTGCCCCTGCTGAATGGGTGGATCTTATGGATATTCAGCTCACCGACATGGATCAAATTTGGTGGACTGCAGAGAAAACTCATCTGGAGAGACCCATCCTGTGGGAGACGTTCACCAAGCGCTTCAACAGGAAATATTTTCCTCAGTCAGCTCGGGCGAGCTTTTGCGAAGATTTGTGGAGCTCAAGCAAGGAGGGCGAACAGTTGATGAGTACGAGGCCGAGTTTTCTTCCTTGAGTCGATATGCTCCTCATCTTGTTACAGACCCCACTATCAGGAGGCATCAGTTCCAAAAGGGCCTGGATAAGTATATCAGGTTTGCTCTAGCTGGTAGAGCACTTGCGACCCACGACGTCGTGTTAGATGCAGCACGTGAGGTTGAGAGCGTGCATAAGGAGCTTGAAGACTCACACGTGATTCAGAGCAGGACACCAGCAGTTCAGGCCCGGAATATCGATCGTTCACCTTCGAGGCAGCAGCAGAATCCGGAGCGACATCAGTTTTCTCAGCGCCAGCCACTTCCTCATGTGCATCCCTATCAGCGCCCTAGAGTGCAGACTCATGACCGGCCTTCGGTGCAGTGCTCCTATTGTAGTTTCCGTGGGCATACCCATCAGGAGTGCCCCAAACGTCTTCGTCTATGCTTCAACTGTAGATCCCCTGACCATGTCAACCGGGACTATCCGTAGCGACAACAGGTCAGCTTGCCCCCACCTCCAGTTCGAGCAGCTCTTCCAGCTCCACCTCGATCAGACTCAGCAGGTCCAGTTCAGCACGGACCTTATCCTCGAGAAGAGCCTCTTCCTTAACAGCAGCAGGATTATCAGGAAGCGCGAAGGCATCAACCACCTCGTCAGATGTTCATGATGTCAGCTGTGGAAGCAGAGGCGAAAAACGAAGTTATCACCGATAAGAATAGTTTATTGTTAGTTTTATTTGCGTATGAACTTTCTCATTTCGCATTACCTTATGATATTATGATAGGAATTATTTATGAGTGCTAGTTTAGATGTATCTTCCTTCTATACTAGATAAAGTTCTCGTTTCTTCCATTCTTGCTTTATCACCCTTGACTCTGGAGCTTCTCATTATTTCTTGTCTCGTTGATTTGCGAGTACCAACTCTCGTTCCATATCTCTGTCCTTGAGTTTAATTCCGAGGACGGAATTTGTTTTAAGGGGGGTAGAATGTAAGGACCATGAATTTTGATACTAAATAAAATAATTTTTTTAGAATTTTAAAATATTTAATTATAATTTTTAAAAGAGTATTTATATTTTTCTTGAATTTCTACAATTTTCTATGATTTAAAATCTAAGTTTTATACTTATTTAAATGATATTAATATTTATAAATTAATTTTGTGCGGTAGAAATTTCTGGAATTAATCTGTTGTGTTATCGGTATTATCACATGTCATTTTGAATAATACGTTGTATTATATGTGGTATTATTTTTATTATTACGTATATTTTCGTATAATACGTTGCATTATTAATTACGTATTATTTGTATAATTTGCTGTATTATTTCTACTGTTACATATTATCTGTCGTATTAGTATAACGAGTATGTTTTGCTGTGTATATAATTATCCCATAATTATTGGATTTTAAATGTAAGTAATTATATTTTATTTATTAATTATCCTTTGTTTAATTGTACAATATGTGAATATTTCGACTATTTCATATCAACTGTTGTATTGACTCAACATGTATGTTTTTATTTGTAGGTAATTATTCTGTAATTAGTTTAATTTTTTATGTACCCAAAAGTATTTATTTTAATTATTTTAACCCTAATCCAAACCCTAATATATATATATAATTATTTCATAACATTAAATGTAAGTAATTATATTTTATTTATTAATTATCCTTTGTTTAATTGTACAATATGTGAATATTTCGACTATTTCATATCAACTGTTGTATTGACTCAACATGTATGTTTTTATTTGTAGGTAATTATTCTGTAATTAGTTTAATTTTTTATGTACCCAAAAGTATTTATTTTAATTATTTTAACCCTAATCCAAACCCTAATATATATATATAATTATTTCATAACA